TTTTTTAAAACTAAACTGATTATTTTATAGAAATCGTACAGTACCTGTCAAGAAAATTTCTATTAAACTACTTATTACATATAAATATATGCATATGTTGTAAGTGGAAACGGAATTTAAGTGGATTCGGAATTTATATGTATATAAAACCCCCGCTTTGGGGTTGATTTTATCATATGTACACCCTAACCCTAACCCTAATTTAACTAGGAAATTCCAAATCCACTTACAACATATGTAATCAGGTATTCTTTATATCACGTAAATATATCTAAACTTCCGAGATCATCTCATTGGCTAACTAATTAGAGAGGCCACGAGATCAACTTCTATACTAGACAAATTATCCAAACCATAGCGATAGTTTCCAAACATTGGTAATTCAAACATGGCTAATGTTTCTAAAAAATCTAAAAGAAAATGCATGTTTATGGATATTCCTTGTGAAGTATTTATTAACATTTGCAAATTTGTGCCTCCTATTGACCTTGTGACGCTTACTACTGTGTGCAAGAAATTTCGCTGGTGGTTACTCGCACCCTCCAATTTTGGAACAGAACAGATCTGGAGTACATCTAGAAAACTTTTCTTACCAAATTTAAAATCACCACCACGGGGAATTTCAGAACAATGTTATATTTCTCTTTATTTGATTGAGTTAGGCTGTCAGTTCTGCGAAGCTGGAAAAATTGAACCACACGGAAAACTGCCCACAGAAACTCCGGCGAAAATTTACTGGGTTTTTAGAGTCCGCTGTTGTAAACGTTGCCTTATAGAGAGAACAGTAACGTAAGATTTTTTACAAGTTTTTGTTTATGCTTAATTCCTATTGCATATGATATTTAAACATAATTATGTAGTTCGAAGCAGATCAAGGAAGAAAAGATTATTCACGATTCTTGCCTTGCAGGAGTGCCATTCATAGAACAAGCTGATCGACCGCGTGTCTATTGGAAATCAGCCGTTGAAGCTGCGAATCGAGAGTTTGTCAATCTCAATGAAGAAGAAGTCTCTAATTGGATCGTGAAAAAAAAAAAAGAATTAGAACATCACAATAAGATTGCAGAATCATGTAAAATACCACCTACATATTCGAACAATAAGGCTCGACTAACATCTGTGATTTGTCATTTATCATCGATAGTACCGAATGATGCCAGACGTAGTGATCCAGAAGTGAAAGTAGAACTTCGCCGATGTCCCACATTTAAGAAGTATGTTCACCCTTCCACAACGCAACTTTTTACGGAACATCACTGGGCCAATTTCCAAAATATTATATACAATGAATACAATGATAGGCGTAATTATGCTGCCTTAAGAGCGCAGCAGTATGACATTTTCTTAAAAGTAAGAATAAATTATGATCCATTTTGTAAATTGATTGGAACTTTTAGTTATTTATATAGTTGCTTTATTAGGTTCATTCTCTGATTCCAACAAAATATACAATGTCAGCTCCTCTTGTTCAGTATCTATTTTATTGCCCATCGTTTAAGAAGCCGCCTTTCAATTACTGGCAAAGTAAACAACAACAGGGTTATTCATTTATGGAAACATATATCGAAACCAAATTCATTCCACGACTTGCATTGGAAGCAAATGATATTGCAAGTAAACCTGAACGGCCATGCCCAATAACAACTGTGGCTGGAGTCCAAAAATTAGGGCTGTCCAACAGATGTATTTTTCGATGTAAATTATGTGTTGGGGCAAATTGGAATGTATTACTAAATTATAAAGAAGTCCGTAGCCACTTGCAAACTAAGCATGGCGAACAAAAAATCATAAATAAGAATATGATTATTGTCGATTATTTGGAAACGGGGAAAAACCATTTGAAACGTAATTCGAAATTAATATGTTTTTTCTTTCCTATTAACGATGAGGCTTAAATTGTCATTATGATTTTTATAAGTATTTAATTGCTTCTGATAAATGTATATGTACTGTAAGCAGCAAAAGTAACGTAGCAACGTCCGATATAATTTTTGAAATTAAGTAAACCAACTTTAGCATCTCAAGTAAAAATATTCAAGATAAATTATTAATGGTAAATTTTGAAACATTTGGTAAAGAGTTTATTAATTTTGCTGTTTAAATTTTAGTGAAAATTTTATGATCTTTAATTAATTTTCGCAAATTAATCATAAAATGGGTGTCGCCAGGGGACAATCACACTAGCGAAAACTTACGCAATTCCTAGAAAATCAAATAATTGAGTCCAGTAAATATATAATAAACTTGAAACCCGATGGTATCTTGATTCACCAACCTTCCTAACATAACTACGTAATCGTCGATTTAAAATTGAATTAACAAATTTGACCAGCTTATAGTCAATTGAATGAATTATATTAACAAGTTGTGCGCCTGCTAATGCGCTGGGAGTTTTTTTTGTACTGGCCAATCAGGCTTCGAAATCAGGCGAAGTGAATTTATTTTTGTTAATGTAATAGAATTGAGATTTTTTTGATGTTTAAAGCGGTTAGTTTGTTAATAAAGATCGATTTTATATTTGTACTATGAATTCAAAGTTTGAGTATAATTAATATGTTTAGCAGAAACGAATTCAAGGCCGAGAAATTTTTCAATATAAAATCAGAAAGTACCAGTTCAAATATTAGGAGTACGAGCAGTGTTTATTTTTCACGTGCGCAAAAGTGTGCGCACGTGTGCGGATCCAATCAAATTGCTTTATTTAAAATTTTGATTGGATTCGCACACGTGCGCACATTTTTGCGCACGTGAAAAATAAACACTGAGTACGAGTTGCTCTTTGTGCTAATCACTCTAATTAAGAATCGTTATATCAAATATTAAGGATTAACCTTAAAAACTTTATGTATTTCTGCATGACCTGCTGACCCAGGCTATAACCCGGGTTAATACCTGTCCCTCCCGGATCGATATTTTCTGACCTGGTTAAGAGCTTTATATATAACAAGATTTCGCATGATCAACCGCAGGGGGATTGTACGTATGTAATAGGAAGATAAAAATGAGGTTTGTATGGATAAGATAGTGTAAATGATAAATTGTAATTGGGTGTGTAAAGAATGATTTATCAGTGAGCGAGTGTTAATATTTTATAATAAAATTTTGGTATTTGTGTTTGATATTAAATTACTATTAGAAAATTGGTTTATTTTGTTTTTAATATTTAACATTTTTAAATTTTATAAAAGCAAAGTGTCTAACGAAAAGCGTTTTTATCTGTAATGTAATAACGTAGAATTTTATCTCATGTTACGGTTTATTTGAGCGTCTGTTGTTACATGATTTACAAACATAATGTAGGTTATATGCGGATTATATAGTAAATGGATGGTCGATTTTTATATGTAAAAATTTAATTATTAATAAACTTTGAGCTAAACAAAGTGTACAAATAAAGTTATATTTATCAAAATTCTTTTAATATAAATTTTAAGTTTATAACGAATTACTGTATGATTGTAGTAAAAGGTATGATTGTGATATATTTTAACTGGCAAGATTAAATTCTGACGCCATTACTTCATAAAGGTATTTTTTACTAAACGTTTGGTTATTACGGAATTTGGAAATATTAAATATTGTGGAAGAAATTAAAGGTGAAATAAGTGGATTGTTTTATAATAATTTAATATGTTATGTAGATTTCAAATTTTATTAGAAAAAAATTTACATATGATTATTACTACATTATTTGTATTATGTGTAATTTAACTGGTTGGACATGATTGGTAGCAGTGTTGATGATTGTTTTATTTTATAAAAAAGAAAGTATATATTGATTACAAAAATAAAATCTATGTAATAATGATTAATAGATTTTTGAAAGGTATAATCTGTTTTAATAGGGGGTAAAGAAGATTCTAATCTAATTTTACAGTTTTTTTTTTGTTAAGCAGATCGAAGATAAGGTATCTACATTATATGTGAGTGTCGCTAAAAGAAAACCCAAAAAATTTAAATATTACTTATATTTAAATTGTCAGGTTTTCTTTTAGTGATACTCATATATAGTTGAGTGTTAGGTGTAAGTCTTACATTTTTTTAGGGTGATGTGTAATGTGTGGGGAATATATGAGGAACTTGATAGTACTTTTTTTTGGATGTGATTCTAGTGCTATAGCGTGTTAATTACCGAATTGTAAGTAAATTGGATAATATAAATGCGTGTTTTAGTGAAATTCGGAGGATGAGAAAATTAGTACCGTTTTATGTAGCATTATAATATATTTTTAAATCTATAGAAATGTAAGATTGGGTTGTATGTTTTTGAGTTATACTACAAGTATGGTAAGACTTTCCTAAGTGCACTCTTTATAAGCATACATCTTCTTCAAACGTACGTATGTTTATATTTTGGCACAAATATATATATGATTTCTACAAATGCATTTTTTTTATAATTTTCTAAATGCATATTGTTAAAGTATGGTCTCATGGATGTGCACTTAAAGAGGTTTGATTGTAATTAGTAAGGAGAGAATGTAAATATACAAGCTGTATAATTATAGAATTAGAAGTGTGATGAATAAAAGGCTATTATAAATTTTGTAGACCGTTGATATGCATCATATTTAGACTTTTATATTCATTTAGAGCGGCCATTGGGGATTTTAGATATCTTTCATCAAAGTTAAGAATATGAAGGTTTTCTCAAGATGTTGCTCTACTCATAGCAACATATATTTGACCTTCTGCAAACATATCTTTGTCTATGCTTGTTGCATGTGATAGAGTTAATCCTTATACTTTATAGACGGTAAGAGCAAATACATTTTGAAAAGGAAATTGTTGTTGAGAAGCTGATTTACCATCGATTTTTTTTTTTTTTTTTTTTAAGGTGACCTCTTGGTTGCTGTTCTTTTATTTGATTATTGTTAACTTTTACAGTATGGTATACACCATACCATACACATATTTGGAGAGTACAATTAGCCACATATACAACTTTTGGTTGCCTATTTAAGTAGTTCCTTATTACTAAGTTCTACACTAGCTGCTGTATCTATAACCCTACTGAGTTGCCTATTTAACTCTCTGCGTCTATATATATTAATTCTCTAACTGAATAAAGGTATATTAGTATCCCTTTATTTTCGGATTTCCGATTTAGGACTTTAAGACAGACTCATCTATAGAGGTCCTTTGTCCTCAAAATAAACCTGCTAGAGCTTTCTGTATCCACAATCCGGCCAATCTAGACTTCAGTAATTTAAGCTGAGTCTGAGGACAAGTACTTGCAAGCTGAAGCTGCTATCATTATCTATTTCTGTCTTTGTAGAGTTCACCCAAATCTTAGCATACACTTTATGGACTAGCACTGACTTTCCTTCATTAACAGCGTTCAAACTCCCAATCCAGATAGCCCAGAGAGGGACCAGTGGGTGTCTTCTTGGTATTCAGATCGAATCCTTTTTCCTTGTCTATATGGGGCTATCTTTATATATATGCGGCCTGGTTGGTATTAGTGTCTTGTCAAATACCTAGTCCTTATTCAGTTTACTGCTGATGTCTGATTACCAATGATTATCCTTTACATAGTACCATTGAAGATTTGTACTACCTCTCTCCTTGGTACTTGCCAAGCAAGATTTTATATGTTCTAGCCTTTGGATTTATATAAATGTTTCACTTAGATTTCATATAACTCTTGCATCACATTATAGTTCTACGTTTTTCCAGTACAAGCTAGTACAACTAAAGCTACAGATCCAATAATTCATCAGATTACACACAGTCTGCTGTAATATATTCCTTTAAATTTGAATTTTGCTACCAGTGGGATTTGAACTCTTGTTCTGCCACTTGAAAGTATGACAACTTATCAACTTCACTAAGTTGCCACACCCTTGTTTATCATTGATTTTAAAATAATAAGTTTCTTTTTGTACTATGATTTTATTTATATTCGAAAAAGTTGAGAAGATTACTTCTATGTTTTTAGAGTCGATTATTTTTGTTACAATCCTGATTGAGCTATTACAAATATTTTTATTGAATAATTTGTTATTTAAAAACATCACTCGGGCTCCTTCTTATAAGTGTATGGATTTTAGTAGGATTGTCAAATATTTGAATCAGGAGATAAGTTGATTATGGTTTAAAGGTTCAAAATCAAGGGTGTCTATAGATCAGGAGATGATGGGATCATTGTAGATATTGCCAAATAGTAGGCAATTACAAAGTAAAGAATTGATTTCATTTGCTGTTTGATGAGTACCAACTATGTGAGTGGTGTTATAAAGCTTTTGGACATTAATATTTAAATCAATTTTAGATTGAATAATGAGTTTGCTTTTGTTTGAGAGACATTCTATACGAATTTCTTGTAAAATATTATAAAATTCAATATCGTTATATTGTCATTAGGAAATAGTTAGAAATAACAGGAAAAATTTTTTTTAGGCAGGTGATTGAAAGATATAATATAGTTTGATTAGAGGTAGTTGAGCCAGATCACCTATTAATAATGTCAGTATACCTCTGAAAATAAGATTATTGTTGTAGATCTTGGCGAAGATATTACTAGCGAAAGTTAACAAATCACCATCTACCATTGATACTTCTTCGATTAAAATAGCATTGATTTTTTTTAATTCAAATATATAGTTGTGGTCTTGAAAGATTAAAGATTTATAATGATTATGTTGATATTTGATTTTAGAGCAAAATATAGTTTTTTTACCAATTATTTGAGCTGCAACACTGGTAGAGGTGGTAAGTAGAAGAGTTTTTTTTTTGATATAAGAAAATGAATCATTTAGAATATTATAAAAGTTTTGCCAGTTCTTGCGGGACCTGTTAAAAAGAAGTAAGAGTATTTTCCATTGTGGTATTTACCTCATATATTAC